AAACTTTATTTTTTACAAAGGGTTCTGAAATATATATATCACTAAATATCTCTAAAAGGCAAACCTTCATCTATTACAATTCACACTGATTTGTAATGGAAAACTATAACATCAATTTTGTTTCAAAGTAAACTTTGGTAGGCCGGCCAATGTGAAGAAGGCTGCATCCCACATAGCTGTGAGATTCAAGTCCTGGACACTGTGGCTTAAAAGACTCTTAGGGGGACCAGCAGATGGTGCAATGGCTATATTGTTGGACTGCTGGGCTCCTAGGAAGTTAACCACTATTCAAGTCCCAGACCCGATGGCTTAAAACTCATGCTGGGTGTGTGTGCGTGTGTGCCAAAGATCCGGAGAGGAGAATAGAGGAGAAGGGATTGCGGAGTGGCCATTCCCCCAGGGGGTGGTTTCTCACTTTCTGTCTCTATTGTGTAAACACATGTGACCTACAGCAAAAATTCCCCCACCCCCAAAAAGATACTCTAGGTGCTTTTGTATGTATGCCCAATATCTTAAAAGGAGAATGGAGGGATTGTGGTATGGCCATTCCCTCTGAGGGGTGCCTTCTTACTTTCCCTCTTTCTCTGGTAAGCACATGCACTCTTTAGCAAATTAAAAAAAAAAAATGTTTGCTACAAATAATTCGTTCTTTTGAAAAAGAGAAAGATGAAAACATGGCAGGTTATTTTTCAGAATAGTCTATTATTTTCCTCCGTGCTAATAAATCCTTTCTGAAGGCAAAGAAACAACCTGATATGTCCCTATTCCAAGAAGCCCCCATGGCTGGACAAAGGCTTGCTCACCTGTCTCCTTGGCTGCAGGACAAAATCGAAGACAACGAACCCTGCTAATAGTGCACTTAAACCCTAAAGATATCATTCATACAGATTTTAAAAGCTATACTTTGGATTAGATCCAATGAGCATGCTAAAAAACAAAACCAAAAAACTATTTTTTTCTCATCTATTAAATATATCATTTTAAAAAATCCTCAGTCTAATGGAAAGGACAGTTTGTTACCTGGTCATACTATTTACAAATAACAGGACTTTGTGAATGTGGGTTTAAGAGAGAAAGTTTTAAAGTGATGCAATAAAGCTCGATTTTTTAAAATCCAAATTATGATAAAGTAGACTCAACTGGGTAATTCTTGTAGAGTGAAGAACTCCCCATATCCAATGCTGGAGAACAAGAAGCAGCAGCTCCAACTATACTGTTAGGAGATGAATTTGCTGATATAGTTCTTTCTACGCAACAGAGAAAAGAGCTTCTTTGTGGGAACTGCATCACGCTTCCCTACAAAAAAAAAAATAGCACCCTAGAAGGGCACAGAAAAGATTGTAGCTTACTATTAAAGGCGGTTGTATTTTCATACCTCGATTTCTAATTATTAACCAATGATCAGTGAATAGGCTCTGATCATTAACTTAGAAAAAGATCAGAAATAAATAAAATCACCAAACAAGGTAACTGATTTTAATGAGGCCCTCGAGTTAAATCTTACTAAAATACCTATGAGAAATACTGTGAGGAGATGTAACTCATTTCTAAAGCTGCACAGCACTGCATGGTATGGATATACCGTAATCCCAATTATCCCGATTTTAGGAACTCAGATTATTTCTATGCTTTTTGCCACCATAAATAATATCATAGTAAACTATTTTATATTTTTTTAAAAGAAGTATTCCAAGCACCTCTAAGTCTTCAAACTCCTCAAAAATCAATAAACTTTTAAAGGAAGTTCAAAACAATTCCAGCCCACCCTAACCCCCCAATACCATGTAAAATATGGGTGTTCATAAATAATAAAAGGCCGCTGGCTTTTTGACAACTTTTTATCTTCTGCAAGAATTCTAGCAGGATTTTTTGCTGAATGGAGTAGTGGGGGGAATATGTACACTTACATACCTATTTAATAAACCCAGCTGTTGTCCCCTATCTAATATGTTTCTACCCCAAAAAGAGATTAAGAAATTTGAACTTTTCAAAGCATTTAAAACATTTCATCGTAGATAGAGAACAGTTAAATTATTTCATTTTATTTATGATTAAAGAGGAAATGAGCTAAGATAAAATTTTACACTGGTACAATTAAGCAGCTGAACTTTTCTAAAACACCTAGTTTATCAATGAGGTAGCTAAAATAAGCCTTCAGTTTCTGTGATTATACAAGAGGTTACATGTGATCAGACAAGGAAGACATAGGCTGTACGAAATCATTCTATTTCTCCCTTCTAACTTATGATACACTGAAATAAAACAACCTGCTTGCGAGGGGGTAAAGTCAATGAAAAATAATTCATATGTCATTTTTATGTGCTATTATTTGACACCTTAGGGCTTGGGCTCTTCTAACAATTGCTGCTTTGCAACTTCCACATTTAATTTCCTGAGGCACAATACAAAAGTAAGTTCAGAGAGTTTATATAACCAAGATAAAAGAATGGATGAGTGTGTTAAACAAATTTTACCTCTGATTTAGAATGGACGGCTGTTCTATGTTCCATCCACCTCCATTCCCAGTGAGCATGGTGACCTGTTTGGTCAGTTTATTGGAAATGTCCTCACATTTGTTCATAAGCCTTATAACCACATCTCTTTCTTGGATCAGTGTTTTACAGTGCCATATCAAATCTTCTGATAAGCCATTTGTTTTGGACATCTTTGTGAACTATTGCACGAAAAGAAAAATTACTTAATCATTCACATCCAGTAAACAGAACACCAAATTCAATTCTCTCTTATAAAGTAAAAAAGTTTGTTAATTTACACTTCTACTAATAAACCGAATCAATTACTAAGACTGATTAATACATGTACACATTCAAATCCCAATGTTTCACTTTGATATTCCACTGTAACTTCAAACTCATGTTAAAATACAATCTCTGAGTTAGCCGGTGCCATAGTGGTTAAGCCGGCTAGATCTGAAGTGGCTAACAGCATGGTTTAAGTCCCAGAACCTGTGGCCTGAAAAACACACCAGGCCCATGTGCATGTGTGCAAAACAAAACAAACAAACAAACATAAAAACAAACAAAAAAACGAGAGTAGAACAGAGGAGAAGGTATTATGGCATGGCCATCCTTCCTGAGGGGTGATTTCTCACTTTCTCTCTCTCCCTCTCTCCTTCTCTCTCGAGCAAGCACATATGCCCTGTAGCACAATCTAAAAATAAAATAAAATAAAACTTCCCCAACAAAATGCATAATCCCAAACTTGTCACTTTGACGCTGAGAACTGTTTACTTACAAGAGAAACATTAGTGAATAACTGTTAGTATCATTTATCAAGTCAAAATCTTAGTGTTTAACTTTCTCTGTTACTAAAGATAATAAAACCAAGTGTAATAACTGGATACCTGACTTCTTTTCCTCATTTTTAGTTACTTCCTGTGACTATTACATTCTTCATTCTTCTAAAACATTTATATATTTATCAACAAAGTGCAACCCCATAAACTTTCAAAACTCCACTGTACTTGATATTTTTACTCCTAAACAGAGCCTACTACTTGGAGTGATATTACATGAATAAAAAGTTAATGGCCAATTTAGTAATTAAATATTTCAAAAGCCAATTTCAATATAACACCTATATAAATGGTTCTCTGTGAAATGCAAACAATTTCTTTCAAATGTGTTTGTATTTCTTTTCCAAAAGGAGGCAGTGGATATTGCATATTTAAAAGCTGTAACAGAATTAGAATTTTTCTTATATACAGCTAAAAAATATTCTAAATAAAGTAACAAAATATATTTTTAGTGTTGGGGCAGCAGATAAGGAGGCTGGATCCTACATGGCTAACTGCACAGTTCCAGTCCTGGACCCAGTGGCTTGAAAAATACACAGGTGCAGGGGCTGGCAGGTGGCATAGTGGTTAAGGGCACTGGACTCCCACATGGCCAACCGTGGTTTGAGTCCCAGACCTGGCGGCTTACTTTCTTACTTTTTTTCTCTCTCTCTGTCCCTCTCTAGTCCAATTAAAATAAATAAATAAAGTTAAATAATAACACACTTCTTAAACACACACACGTGCATGTGCAAGTGTGCCCCAAATCCCAAGAGAACGGAGGACAATTGCCTATGGTGTGGGCATCTCTCCTTGGGGATGATTTCTTACTTTCCTCCTCTCTGAAAGTACACGTGCAAAAACAAAACAAAGACAAAAATAAAAAACAGGTACTTTTCGTGAAAAGGACTAGAAAGCCCAATAGCTACTTGAAACTTTGCTAAGCTAAAATAAAAATCTCATAGTCCAGGACTCAATAAAGACTAAAATAAAACCATCTGTCTAGGATAAAACACACATGCTTCTGATTCTATCACATTATTTTATCAGCATGTTCTTCTGAAGTTATAACGAGTACCACATTAACAACTCTGAATAAACCCTGTGATCACGGTGTTTCTAAGTCCAGAGAAGCTCAAGCGATTCAACACTTTCAGGATATAGTAAGGTAATTTCATAAAAGTGCAGTTTGTAGCAATATACATTTTTCATATTTATCCCATAACAAATTGGTAAGATACAAAATATCTAATCTATTCCAAAGCTGTTATTAATGTCTTATAGTATTTAAAACAAAAAGAAAAAAACTTAGACCCTCACAAAACAGCACCGTGAAATGCTACTTGACATTTTCACAGGAACAACATTCATAATCATGATATGATCCCACACTCCATTTTTGTTTTCCAGGGAAAAGGTCTATAGGTAAAAAGCGGGATAGGTGAAAATCAGTATTTTAAGGATTCTATTAGAATTTTTAACTAAAAGTATTATTTTTAAATGGAATCAGAAAATTCTAAAAACTAATCTCATGCCTATTGTATGTGCATGCATGTGTATATAGTGTGTACGTGAGAGAGAAAACAAACATGACTAGGAAATAAGAACAAAACAAACACTGAGTAGCATTTGCATGTGATGAACTGTTACACAACTTTTATTCAGTGATTCATTAAGTCCTCATAGTAGGGACCAGCAGATGGCATAATGGCTATGTCGCTGGACCCCCATGTAGTCGACCGCAGTTTGAGTTCTGGACCCAGTGACTTAAAACTCACACCAGGTACGTGTGCGTGCATGCCCAAGATCCCGAGAGGAGAATGGAGAAGAGATTGTGGTGTGGCCATCCTCCCCAGGGGGTGATTTCTCGCTTTCTGTCTCTCTGTCTCTCTCTGCCTTCCTGATGAGTGCACGTGCCCTATAGCAAAAACCTCTCCAGGAAAAGAAAAAAAAAAAAGAGGAAAAAAACTAGAGAAAACAAAATGGGGAGCCAGAATGAAAAAGCACTCTGGCTCCTCAATGAAAGCCATTGTGCAGTTCTAATGCTAATGCTGACACTAAAAATGATCTTCAGTATCACCGTGTTGTTTTTGTCTCTCAAGAGGCAGACACACAGGCATCTTTGACAAGGTCTCACCACACTGAGATCTCCCTGCATTGCAATCTCACTGCCCTGCCTTCAAGCCCAGGCCTCCCACGTGGCTTGAGCCATGGTGCAGCGGCATCTCGTACAGCTGGAACAGAGGAGGTGAGCTCAGGAGGTGAGGGAGGCCCTGAGAAGAGAGATGAGTGCTACTGATGTGTCTGTAAAGTGAGGCTGAGAGACAAGGCCAACGAATGACAAGAAACAGCAGCACAATTATACTACCTAAGGGTGCGGAGGGGTTAAGAATCAGACAAAAGCAGTGAAAGAAGTTTTCTGCAGTATAAGAGGCTGGGGAGAGATGGCACAGATTTGAGGAGAAAGGGAACAGGGTGGAGAATTACTTGTTAACTAACTGTATATATAAATAATAAAAATCAAACATTAACAAGAAAAGTAACAAAACACAACATCTAATTCTACAGTATCTTCATGAGGCTGGGGAGGGGAAGAGAGGCATCCACTGGATGAAAAGTTAGAATGCTCTCCTGCTACAATGCTGCTATTTTCTGAACATAAAACACATTTAACAGTCCGGTAACTTTCATAGCCGCCAAAAAAGAATATGAGAAATACAAAGCACCCTGTAAATCCGAAGTTCTATCAGTAAATCTAAAGCTACTGACGAGCACAGAAAAAAGACCCCATCTACAAATCTCCAATGGTAAGACACATACAAATGTACATAAATAAATGACACTCACATTTTATGTGCGGGGTACCTTTGGGAGAATTTGGGGTAAACTTTACTTCTTCATTCTTACATGAACTGTATCAATTTTGGACACAAACACATTTAAAAAAATTATCAAGCGGGGCTGGCAGGTGGCTGGATACCCACATGGTCGACCATGGTTCGACTCCTGGACCTGGCAGCTTGCTTTCTCTCTCTCTCTCTCTGTCTCTATAAATAAATATAAATAATTACCTTTAAAAAATTATCAAGCTATTTGTTTGAGGGGGAGGAAGAAAAAATGTTAATTGCTACTTGCTAGAGAATTTCATGAAAACAAGAACTTCAGTATGTCCTGATTAAACTCTCTTTAACTAAGAATTCAAGCATCAAACTGCATGTAGATAAGTGGAATGAGTTCTAGAGTACCACAGCACAGTAGAAGAACTACACAGGGTGACAATTCAAGGTATATTTCAAAATAGCCAGACAGAGGATTTCAAATATTCACAGCACAAAGTAAGGGTGAGGGGGTGGATGTTTGAGATGGTGGGTGTGGTTACTGCTCTGGTCTGATGATTAAACAGAATATCCATTCACTGAGAATCACATACGCCCATAAACACGCACCACAGTTACCTATCAAATGAAGTGATAGATAAAACAAATTCGAGTGTCAGGTGTCATTTTGACTGTCCTTTCTGAGTCAGCTACAGAAGTACCTCTCTCCTGCCACAGTGTGTCGCTCTTACTACACAAAAATTTCAGAATTTCTATAGGGAGAGGGAAATTGTTTAAAGGCAGATTTAATTCTCAAATTATTTAATCCCTACTAAACAAATAACACTCCTGAGGTCAGTGTCCTAATCTTACTTGTAACTGTAAGTACGTAGCAGTAGCCTGTAAAATATTCAGAATACACTTATGATTTTAAAAATAAAAGTCTGTCAAATTTGTAACAATTTGAACAAAGCTTGGATATAGTAATTTTATAAACAAATATACTAAGCTGCCCTATCCAGAAGGAAGGAATTTCGCACTACGCTGCTTAAGTGACGAATTTAGACTTTTTTTTTTTAAGAGGTTTTTCACTGTAGGGCGCGTGCGCTCGCCAGGCAGACAGAGAGAGACAGAGAGACAGAAAGCGAGAAATCACCCCCCAGAGGGGATGGTCACGCCGCAATCCATTCTCCTCCATTCTCCTCTCGGGATCTTGGGCACGCACGCACACGCGCCTGGCGAGAGTTTTAAGCCACCGGGTCCAGGACGTGAACCGCGGTCGACTACGTGGGAGTCCAGCGACATAGCCATTAGGCTAACTGCTGGTTCCCGAATTTAGACATTTTAAAGAAATCACCGAGCAAAACAAACACCGTGATCTGAATTAATGGTGGGAGAGGGCAGCACTTCGCACCATGAGGGGCACAAAGGTCCAACAGGAACTAAGCCCAGAGCCCAGGAGCAGCCCAGGAAACTGTCTACACCATCGGCCATGCAGGTGGGAGCACAGTAGTGGAGCTGTTCCTGACACTGCCCGGGTCAGGACAAAATATGTGACTGTTCTGATTAACATGTGGAGATACAATGAGACAAGACTGATCTCAGACCTAACAGTATTTCTCACGCTACTTTACACAAGGCTAGACAACAATTCAGTAGGTGACCAGCTGATGCTACTGAATGTAAAATCTGGGAACAGAAATTCCAACTCCATGTCAACCACAGAGTTTTTAAAAAAATGACATCTTTGGCTTACTGTATTTCCAGCGTCCATCTACCTGATTTAATGACGGGGGTTTACTTGGAGCAGCTACATTTCTGCTACTATGCAGAAACAACCTAAATAAAGTGGAAACACAGAGAAAACCTACTAAATAATATTTAAAATTTGACTTGAAGGAATAAATAACCATGGGTTTTAAAATGTCAATATAAATAGCCTCAGGGTCGGCAGTTGGTGTAGTGGTTAAGGGTGCTGGACTTCAACATGGCTAACCATGGTTCAGGTCCCGGGCCTGGTGGTTTGCCTTCTCTCTTTCTTTCTGCCCCTCTCTGGTAATATTAAAATAAATAAATAAAGTTAAATAAATCTTTTAAAATATATATATAAACAGCCTCCAGGTAATGAATGCACTTACTTTTATAATCACACTTTTTTCATGTAAAATGAGACTGGCTAAAATACTTTAGAACATTTTTTTTTAAATTTTAATTCTCTGATAAGAAAGTTACAACAATGCAGAAAAGTATGCAATCTCTGGATTTAAAATTATTGTGATTAGTTACTAAATAGCTAATCTTATATAATTTTTTATATTTTATTTTTATATATTGTATATCTCATACCTTGAAAAATAAAGTCAATGATCTTTAACTTTTTAAATTTTGTTTTAAAAACAAAATTTAACATAATTTTCACAAATTACTTTTCAATAAGCCAATGAGATAATAATGATTGCATTTAACCATGTAATGATCAGCAATGTTAATCTTCATTTTTAATAAAACTATCACAAGTAAAATGTATGAGTATACCTGATTTACAGGCTCATTGTGTGTTTTTCAATTAAATATTTATAAATTTTCTAATTTTGCCACATTACCCAATTCTTAGGACTAAACACATTTCAACGAACATTAAGGAAAAGATGGGTAGATATTTACAAGCTGTTCTTACTATGTAATACCATGTAAACTATTCATTAAAGTATGAATGAGTGCCGTGATTAAAACCTCAACTAATTCTCATAGGAATTTCTAAGTATAGCAAGCTATCAAACACAAATGTTTTCTTTTCTCAAACCTACCAATTAATAAACTGTATATACAAAGATACTAAATTGCTCGATAAGCCAATCACATGCCAAATTTTAAAGTCACTGAAGGTAGAAGCTAAAAGTTCTAAGCAAATTAAAATTTAAAGCTTATATGTATTTACTTGGTAATTTAAACCGTTAATTTGCAAAAACTCATCATTTACCAACTTTGCTCTAATAGGGAAGCACTGTATTCACCAAATTCAAGTAGAAAGTTAACTTTTAAAATACTTTTTGTTACATAAAATATTCAGCATTTGAATTGATGGTTAAAACAAACAATAGTCTTTATATTCAACTTTCAGAAAGAGGCTTAAGTAGGTAATGCAGTCTCCAAATTCATGTCAAGACTAATTTAAACTATGCCAATTAATTAGGAAGGAAAATATGCTTTCTACATGTTAAGTGGATGAACATTTTTTAAAACATCTGGCACATATACCTCTGGTAAAATTGTATAATTTACTTTTACTATCTACTATGCAGAAACAACCTAAATAAAGTGGAAACACAGAGAAAACCTACTAAATAATATTTAAAATTTGACTTGAAGGAATAAATAACCATGGGTTTTAAAATGTCAATATAAATAGCCTCAGGGTCGGCAGTTGGTGTAGTGGTTAAGGGTGCTGGACTTCAACATGGCTAACCATGGTTCAGGTCCCGGGCCTGGTGGTTTGCCTTCTCTCTTTCTTTCTGCCCCTCTCTGGTAATATTAAAATAAATAAATAAAGTTAAATAAATCTTTTAAAATATATATATAAACAGCCTCCAGGTAATGAATGCACTTACTTTTATAATCACACTTTTTTCATGTAAAATGAGACTGGCTAGAATACTTGAGAACATTTTTTTTTAAATTTTAATTCTCTGATAAGAAAGTTACAACAATGCAGAAAAGTATGCAATCTCTGGATTTAAAATTATTGTGATTAGTTACTAAATAGCTAATCTTTAATAATTTTTTATATTTTATTTTTATATATTGTTTATCTCATACCTTGAAAAATAAAGTCAATGATCTTTAACTTTTTAAATTTTGTTTTAAAAACAAAATTTAACATAATTTTCACAAATTACTTTTCAATAAGCCAATGAGATAATAATGATTGCATTTAACCATGTAATGATCAGCAATGTTAATCTTCATTTTTAATAAAACTATCACAAGTAAAATGTATGAGTATACCTGATTTACAGGCTCATTGTGTGTTTTTCAATTAAATATTTATAAATTTTCTAATTTTGCCACATTACCCAATTCTTAGGACTAAACACATTTCAACGAACATTAAGGAAAAGATGGGTAGATATTTACAAGCTGTTCTTACTATGTAATACCATGTAAACTATTCATTAAAGTATGAATGAGTGCCGTGATTAAAACCTCAACTAATTCTCATAGGAATTTCTAAGTATAGCAAGCTATCAAACACAAATGTTTTCTTTTCTCAAACCTACCAATTAATAAACTGTATATACAAAGATACTAAATTGCTCGATAAGCCAATCACATGCCAAATTTTAAAGTCACTGAAGGTAGAAGCTAAAAGTTCTAAGCAAATTAAAATTTAAAGCTTATATGTATTTACTTGGTAATTTAAACCGTTAATTTGCAAAAACTCATCATTTACCAACTTTGCTCTAATAGGGAAGCACTGTATTCACCAAATTCAAGTAGAAAGTTAACTTTTAAAATACTTTTTGTTACATAAAATATTCAGCATTTGAATTGATGGTTAAAACAAACAATAGTCTTTATATTCAACTTTCAGAAAGAGGCTTAAGTAGGTAATGCAGTCTCCAAATTCATGTCAAGACTAATTTAAACTATGCCAATTAATTAGGAAGGAAAATATGCTTTCTACATGTTAAGTGGATGAACATTTTTTAAAACATCTGGCACATATACCTCTGGTAAAATTGTATAATTTACTTTTACTATAAGATATTTGGGCAAGTAGTTACAGTGACTAAACAAACTAGTACAGATAATTGCATTCCTTATTAAATAAATTAGAATCCCAACAAGCCCAAGCAACCCAACTTTGCAGTAACACAGGAGACCATTAAAGATTAAAAGAAAGAAGAAAAAGAAGAAAAGAAGAACAAGAAAGCCCTTCAGCAAATACTTTAACAAATAAATCACTCAGGCAAAGCCAAACAAGTTCTGAAAGGACCTGCTTTGACAGATGTTCTCTGGAAAAGCAAAGGCTTCAGGCCAAACGGATGGCTTCTTCTTCTTCTTCTTTTTTTTTTTAATCTAAGCTAGGAAATACTAGCATTGTTGTTTTTATTTTTTTTTTCAAATATTTTAATTTTTTAAAAAGTGCTTCCAGCAATCATTGTTAGAGGCTATCCTTAGAGTCATTTCCAGAACTTATGAAGGGCACTTGCATTCGCTTAGATTTGTCACAAGTGGAAAATTAATCACAAAAGCAGCTCTGCTCTCTAATTTAGAGATGAAAACTTCCTAAAAAGTTCCATAAAGTATCAAGAGTCACTTCATCTTACAAAGCTGTAAAAAGTCATCGATACTGCTTTTACAGCAGGGCCTATAATACAATTCATGCTATAAAAGCCCAAGTTCTCTCTCACAAGAGTTGAAGCAAACTTTAAGAGTCTTTTGTTTCTCTGTATGAATAAGATCTGATGACTGTTGACATCTATAGAACTCAAAACACAGGTATTTAAATAAAACCAGTTCAGAGGAAATCAGACTCCAGAGACTGATCATGCAAAAGTGTACTTACCAGTGCTCATGCCCCCTTCCCCTAACGCTTGGATTCTAGGCTTCCACACACTGTTCTATCTTTCCAGTTAAAAAATGCTGCAACCTGCTACACTCCATAAAATGGCCGCGTTGTTTAACCAAGAAAAACATGTTAGAGGCTGAGCTGTCAACTTTCAGAAGAAAAAGAAAATGAACAATTGCTTCTTTTTGGTGAAGCAGCAAACACTTAGGCTGGCATTTTCAATCATGGAGCGCCTCTGGACGTTGCTACTGCTCTTCAAGCAGTTGTAAGATTTCTGCCACATTCTTGCCTTTTGCATGGAGTCTCAGCAGTCACAGATCAGAGCAGGCTAGCAAACGACTCCTTCCTAAATGGAAGCTCTAATTTCTTCTTCTGCAGTGAAATGAACCAAGTTTCTATGCAAAAGGATGAGTGACAGTGTTCCCAGCCAATCAGCTTGGGTTTTTTCAGGAAAATCACCCCTTAATTCATTCAAAATTAGGTCATATGACACTATTTGAAATACCATTGGCTTACAAAGAAAGTAATGTTTGACTATACACAGGATAAGGCCACCCATCGATGCTTCCCTGGGCTGAAGACAACTTGACTATGAAACCGTACTGTGAATTAAAACACACACACACACACACACACACACACACACACACACACACACACACACACACACACACACACACACACACACACACACACACACACACACACAAACACACACACAAAAGCAAGCAGGGGGAGAAGAAGAAAAAAAAAAAAAAAAAAGAATGTAGCCTTACCAGAGCTTCCCAACTATTAAAGGGCCGGAGCTCTGTTATCTTCTGAGCCTTTTTCTGAGAGCACTGAGGAATCAGTGTCAGTTCACCAATCGAGGCATCTTGAAGGAAGTGAAGGATTTTGCCTTTGTAGCCATCCTCCATCACCTCTTCGCCACTACTGTAGTCCTCGTCCAGCGAGCTACCGACATCAGAGCCTGAGTCATACTCAGAGTCTTCGATGACTCTTTTTGGGTTAAATACATTTTTTTTACGTTTCTTATTAAAACCATTTTGTGTTTTCATGGAAAGTTTCTGTTTCAGTTTTGTTTTAGTGGCATTTTTAGGATAATTTTGACTCCTCGAAGAAACTTCTTTTCCATTGGGAACCTCGCTTTGTGAAGCATACTGCATATCTGTGTACAAAAAAAAAAAGGGACAAAATTAGAAACTACATCAGAAATATGTAAATTAAATATGAAAGATGTTACTTCAAATAAGAGAAATATTTAAACATTTTCATATTCTTTCGAATACAGAATTCAACGACAATTTGTTACATACCTTGATAAACTTGAAAGAGAAATACTGACGTAGAATTTGAAGTTATACAGTAACGTTAAATAATTAGTTTCAAAAGCAGATGATATCATGCTTGTTAAATGTGGACAATAACAAATGTCCATTTCCTAACAAAGGCCTTGGGAACAACTGGCAGTGGCATGTCCATGAGTAGTCCCGGGTCCCGGTGCCACTGAGCAGCACCCCTGCCCAGACCCCCTTGCCAACAGTGCTGGGCGCAGGCAAATACCCCACCATGAAGCTCCCTCCAGCTAGCTATGTCATAATTAATGTTCCATAAAGTTTATTACCGTAACTATAACATTTAAATACACTACTATGAAGTGTTACTACCTTATCGTGAACTGATTTCTCCTATTTTATAGAATTCGAAAGTGCCTGTGAATGAAGGTAGGCTGTTATGAAACATCTGTTTAAGAAAATAGGCAAGAGGCCAGCAGATAGCATAGTGGCTATGTTGCTGGACTCCCCTAAGGCCGACCGTGGTTTGAATCCCAGACCCAGCAGCTTGAAACTCAGGCTAGGCATGTGAGCATGCATGCCCAAGATCTTGGGAGAAGAATGGAGAAGGCGTAGAGTGGGCACCCCTCTGGAGGGTAATTTCTCTCTTGCCATCTCATCGTCTCTGTCTCTCTCCCTCTTTGGTGAGTGTACATGCCATAAGGCAAAAAATCTCTCCAAAAAAAAATAAAAATAAAGAAAGCACAATCTATAATACCATATTTTATTTGGAATGTTTGTTTTATGTGCTCAAAAGAGCTTTTCAATTTCAACACCTCAGCATACAGTCATTCCTGTGTGTATATTAAAATATAAGCAAAATAAAATGAACAATGTATTCCACAAATGTCTTCACTTTTAGTCTGCTCTTCTAAATTTTTAAGACTCAGAATGGACAATGTCAGTGGCTTTCTTTTTTTACACATGGTATCATCTTTGTGCCAACAGGAATATCAATAGTGCAGTATTTCTTAAAGGCGCCATTAGGAATTTACTAAAAAAGAACAACAACATCTAAAACCCCGGTGCAGGGCTTTTAAAACTGACTTTACAATTATGAGAAGCTACTGGATGGTTAGAAAGGTCCTGGTGTATTTTTTTGGTTTTCTATGCACAGATGCATCATGGCTTTTCTGATGAACTCATTCGTCTACTGGGTTCTCGCTAAGATACGTTAACATGTGAGATTCCACTCCTCCCTACTACCTTGCCTCTACCATTTTGATCCTAGAGTTCCATGTTTCCATACGCGTTCAGATACTTTCTGACAATGCTGATGCCGCTGGCAAGGTTTTGATACTAGTGCTTTAACGTTAACACTAGCGCAGACAAAAATAACTACATTTCAGTGAGAAGGTACCAACAATCACAAGATTTACCAAGAGCTGTGAAAATGTAAAAAACGTTTATTTTACACTCAACAAAACATGGGAGTTTAGAAGTATTCATAACTATCAAGAAAAATTAGCCAAATTAAAGACACTTATTTTTATTGTTTTATTTTACACGACCATAAAATACAGACCAAAACCCATTTAGTAACTGGTTACTTAAACTTTTAATGTTACTTCCAACACCTTTTGCAACCCCATCCCCTCATCAGCAACTGACAGGTTTACTATTTTCTTACACACTAAAATAGAGACATGGGACGTGTATTTTCTGTAACACAGAATAGATAATTACCTTGATCTGCTGCAAAGACTTTTAGAGATTCTAAAGCTTCCGTGTACATCCATTCATGTTCTTTCAGCACTTCTCTTAGCTCCTAAAAATAAGTTATTAATCTTCCTGTTAAATCTCAAATTAGAAACTTGTAGAAAAGTTTTATGCTCTTTAAAATGAGCTAACTGTTTGAAAACAGAATGGACACCTGGTTGTTTTATATTTGCTTGTATCCTGCTTTGTGAACGCTGTCTGTAGTTTTACCACTGCAAGTAAGCAACAGTTTCCAAAGGAAAGAAGCTTGCTTCTCCTGTATTCTCTCCACGAAGTGTCTACACATTAGAGGACCACGAAACGTTTGCTCAATTAAAAACAAAACTTCAGCACATAGCTAAAATTTTACAAACTGCCAACTTCAAAATACATAGTTTTTAACATACATAAAGAATCAATACAGCAACAAGATTTTTCATTTGGCTCATCAAAATTCAGTATATATGCCACCAGAGTATCTACTTAAAAAAGTCAATTCAAGGGAACCAGCAGTTAGCGTAATGGCTATGTCGCTGGACTCCCATGTAGTCGACCGCGGTTCACGTCCCAGACCCGGTGGCTTAAAACTCACGCCGGGCATGTGTGCGTGCGTGCCCAGGATCCCGAGAGGAGAATGGAGGAGAAGGGATTGCGGCATGACCATCCCCCCTGGGGGGTGATTTCTCGCTTTCTGTCTCTATGTCTCTCTCTGTCTGTCTGGCGAGCGCACGCGCCCTATAGCAAAAAAAATCTCTCCAAAAAAAAAAAAAAAAAAAGTCAATTCAAGTGTAAACATACTTCAAAAGTTAAAACAAATACATGCTTCCGTACACGCTCATGAAGTTAAAGCAGAGGTCCTTTAGGCCTGGCATGCTTGCTGTGGGCCTTTAATGACCCTGAAAGCATTTTTCACTATCTCAGAAGTAGAATAAAGCTTATGGAATACAGAGATACTGAAAAGCAATATTGCACTTTCTGGGAACCAGCAGTTAGTGTAATGGTTATGTCGCTGGACTCCCACGTAGGCGACCGCAGTTCGCGTCCCGGACTCGGTGGCTTAAAACTCACGCCGGGCACGTGTGCCTGCGTGCCCAAGATCCCGAGAGGAGAATGGAGAAGGGATTGCGGCGTGACCATCCCCCCTGGGGGGTGATTTCTCGCTTTCTGTCTCTATGTCTCTCTCTGTCTGGCGAGCGCACACGCCCTATAATGCAAAAACCTTTCCAAAAAAAAAAAAAAAGCAATATTGCACTTTCAAATGCTTTGGGAAATGTCAAGGATGAGAACGTAAAAAGCAAATCAAGTGGTTACTTGATGGGGGCAGGGTTACAGATGGCTTTCTAGATGATTTACATTTTATGAAAGAGTTGATCATTTTTTTTGAGAGAGATATTTTTGCTATAGGATCCATGTGCTCGCTGGAGAGACAGAAAGCAAGAAATTAACCCCCAGGGGGGATGGCCACACCAAAATCCCTTCTCCAGCCTCCTCTTGGGATTATGGGCATACACGCACATGCGCCTAACGTGAGGTCCAAGCTGCTGGGTCTGGAACCCAAACTGCAGTCAACTTCATGGGAGTCCAGCGATACGACCATTATGCCATCTGCTGGTCCCAAAAGTTCATCATTTTTATTATGGTTATGTTGTTATGACTATGATTACAGTGACACTATAATTAACAAACAAATTATTAGGTCATAGGAAAAGTCATGATGCATTTTCCTATGAAAAATGCTCCATGACTTTCTGGACAACCCGATATATAAGAATGTGAAGAATTAAGAAGTAGTATAAAAATATGTAATCATATTGGGATCAGCAGTTGGCGTAATGGCTATGTCGCTGGACTCCCATGTAGTCGACTGTGGTTCAAGTCCCAGACCCAGTGGCTTAAACTCAGGCTGGGCGCATGTGTGTGCGTGCCCAAGATCCCGAGAGGAGGATGGAGGAGAAGGGATTGCGGCATGGCCATCCCCCCTGGGGGGGTGATTTCTTGCTTTCTGTCTATCTGTCTGTCTCTGTCTGGCGAGCGCACGCGCCCTATAACAAAAAACCTCTCAAAAAAAAAAAATGTTATCGTATTGATAAAAAGGGAACATTAAATTGGAAAAAATACAAAACCCACCTTAAACTTTTACATGGTTGAACTCAAACACTATTTTCTAATAAAAACACACAGTACCCACTGATTCAATTTCCATACATGGGGGGACTAGCAGGTGGCATGGTGGTGAAGGTGCTAGACACTCCCACATGGCTAACCACGGTTCAAATCCCAGACTTGGTAGCTCGCTTTCTCACTTTCCCTCTCTCTGGTCAAATTAAATAATAATAAATGAATTAGTAGAAAATAAAATAAATAATACTTTTAAAAATTTTCTACACATAACTACTCACCTGCTTATCAAAATGGGGAAATTCCTTTTGCAATTTCAATACAATACTTTCTTGCTTTTCCCAATTACTGCTAGATTCTGCAGACTCATTTGATTCTTCTCCCTAATAGAGGAAAAAAAATCCCACAATTTAAAAGATCATCAATGAGGCATTTAAAAGGTCATCAACAGGTCTCAAGGCAATTACACTGGTATTTTGCCTTAAATGAACAATTATCAAACGGCTAGCCAGTGGTATGGTATTAAAGGTAGCTGGCCCCACATGGCTTACTGGACAATTAGTCCTGGACTCACTGGCTTAAAAAACACTGTGTGCCTGCCCAACATTCCCAGGAGAGGAATGGAGGAGAAGGAACTGCGGTGCGGCCATCCCTCCCTAGGGCGGTGCTTTCTCACATTCTCTCTCTCCAGTGAGCACAGGCCCTTGTAGCAATTTTTTTTTTAAATTATTACATTCAACATTCAATCAGAAGAATTCAAAATACTGGGGCTAGCGGATGGTGTGGCAGTTACATCACTGGACTCCCACACAGCCAACCACGGTTCACATCCCAGACCCAGCAGCTTCAAACTCATGCCACGTGCGTGTGTGTGCATACCCAAGGTCCCAGAAGGAGAACGGGGAAGGGACTGTGGCGTGGCCATCACCCCAGGGGTGATTTCTCACTATTCTCTGTCTCCAGCAAGCACATAAACCCTATGACAAAAACTTTAAAATAAAAACAAAACGATAAAAAAAATCTCACCTCTGCTCACAATTTTGTCATCACCTAGAAACTCAAATTCTGAGATAAAGTTACTTTTATTTTAGTCTTGATTCAAATCCAACAACCAACTGCTATTCCTCTACTTACCACCTAAAGTAAAAATAGCTATCTATAAACTGTGAAAGATACATCTCTTGCACACAGGAATAAAATAATAAAGTTCCTAAAACCAGAGACAAATAACATGCTACAGAAGTTTGGACAAGAAGAAGAAAACTGCAGTGATTTATAACGAGCAGTCCATCTGGGCCAGAACACAGAGAACATGGGCAGCCTCTAAGGCTAAAAACTAAAACAGAGCAAACACTGCTCAAGGCCAAAGGTTAGTCTATATTTAGAAACAACAGGAGTTGGAGTAGGGGAGTAATAAAACACCAATATCTGAAGAAAGTTGGAAAACTCTTCATGTTGCCATCATCACTTTGTAGCTGAAAACACTGACACTCCAAGAACAATCATTTTAAAGGTCACAAGATGGGGGGGCTCGGGAACCAGCAGTTAGCATAATGGCTATGTCGCTGGACTCCCACGTAGTCGACCACGGTTCGTGTCCCGGACCCGGTGGCTTAAAACTCATGCCGGGCGCGTGTGCATGCGTGCCCAAGATCCCGAGAGGAGAATGGAGGAGAAGGGATTGTGGCGTGGCCATCCCCCCTGGGGGGTGATTTCTCGCTTTCTGTCTCTATGTCTCTCTCTGTCTGTCTGGCGAGCGCACGCGCCCTACAGTGAAAATCTCTCAAAAAAAAAAAAAAAAAAAGATGGGGGGCTCAAAGTATGGTGAATGACGAGCTATTACAGCTGTAAGTCTTCACTTAGCACTGATGTCAACTATCATGGTCACGTTACCTTTCAGAGCCTTAAACACAAGTGCATAGTTCCCGTCTCTTGTATTTGGGTTCTTCCAGGCACGTGTTCATAATAGATACTTATTTAATCCAAGCTGCCTGCTTCAGCTGACTTCTGTATCTCAGCTGGGAAATCCTGCTGCAGATTTCTCACCTGCACTAGCAACTATGTCACAGGTGAGGGCTCAGGAAATCGGGGCGCTGTTTAAACCCACTAACGCAGGCGAGACAAGCACACAAGGAATGGATTCTGCAGCACACAGCAGTTTCTGTTTTAGTTTTTATATATTTATATTATATTTTTATGTACATAAAGATCTATGTTCCCAATTTTTGGACCTAAAAGATTGCTATATTCTTTGGTCTTGAATCCAAATGTTCGCCAATCTTTCCTTTTCTCCTATTTCTTTACTGCCTTTTCAAGATTTGAAGCTGGTTCAGCCATAAATTTGTTATGGACAAAAACTGCACTTAAATGCAAATTTCAGGTTATGCTCAAATTGTTCCCTAATATATCAACTGCGGTGAAACAAATTCATGGTTTTGTTTTTTTAAATCTGACCAGAGAGGGACAGAGTGTGTGTGTGTGTGTGTGTGTGTGTGTGTGTGAGAGAGAGAGAGAGAGATAAAGAGAAAGCAAGGCACCAGGTCCAGAACTTGGCCATGTGGAAGGACAGCGGTCTTAACAACATGCCACCTGCCAGCTCCCAAATCATGTTTTTAAAACAGAACTGACTGAACTATTTTTTAAAAATAACTATATTTATTTAACTTTATTTATTTATTTGTTTATTTAAATTTGACCAGAGAGGGATAGTGTGAGAGAGAGAGAGAGAAAGAAAGTGAGAAAGCAAGCTGCCAGGGCCAGGACTCGCCACAGTTGGCCATGTGGGAGGCCAGCACTCTTAACCACCACACCACCTGCTGGCCCCAATGACTGACCTATTTTTGTAGAATAGCTATTGGCTTGGTATAAACATGATCGCTTTCTCTGCATGATGTGTCAGAAACGAAGGGAACCGAGTTTGTTCAACTAATTTTGGTGGTAGAAATGTATTCACCTCAGGGACCAGCAGGTGGTATGGTGATTAAGGGTGCTGGATTCCCATGTGGTTGACTATGGTTTGAGTCCTGGACCTGGTGGCTTGCTTTCTCGCTTTCCCTTTTTCTCTTTGTCTGTCTCTTTCTAGCTAAATCAAAAACTAGTAATAACAAATGGAATTAAACAAATAAATAATTCTTAAAAATAAAAAGAAAGAAAAGAAATGTATTAGCCTCAGAAGCTATTGAGGGGACCCTTTCTATCCTAGCAGTGTTCAAAAAACAAAAACAAAAACCCCATAACTATCAGGTTGATAATAGGTCCTAATACGAGCGAAAATGGCTGACCACAGGACACATGTGACATGACACTGGAGCTGCTTTGTGATCTGAGACCTGACCCACCAAGCCTAAAACTGAGCATTATTTTAGGGGCAGCCCATTATCAAATAGAAATGGTGTATCTGAAACTGGACGGGAATGCCACAGACACGGTAAGCGCCCCTCGCAGGTGTCTCAGAAACCCACGGTACCCACTCAGGCTTTGCTGCTGCCTCTTCTTCAACCCGTATCTACAGCACTATGGGGAGATTCTTCACGGCCAGATAAAGACAGGGGAAACCTTTGAACTTGGCTTACTAGGGATTTACATAACGGTTAGAACCAGCTAAAAGTGGGTAACTGCTATGATAAAATCTCATTTTAAAAAGTAACCCACTGCAGCCTTGGGAAGTGTATCTCAGCCATTCTGGGTGCAAGAAATGCAACCAGGAAGGAATATGTCAGCATTCACAAGGATGCCTCTTAGTAGTTGTGTTTGTAAAACAACAGTTACTGGAAAACCAGAACTGAAAAAAGCCTAAGTACTATTATCTGTGGACACAAAGTGTTATGGTTTGAATGTGTCACCTCCAAAACTGAAATGCTGAAAGGTAATCCCCACTGTGATGGCACTAAGAGGTGGGGTCTTGAGGAATATAAGGGAGCAGGTGTTCTTCAGCTACGGGAAGGCACAGCTTTCAGGAAAGAGCAACAAGGTGCCATCCTGGAAGAGAGTACCCCTCACTGGACTCCCAACCTGCTGGTGCCCTGACCTCGGACTCTGCATCTCCAGAAACGGTGAGAAATAAATTTGTACTGTCTATAAATTAACAAGTCTGTGGTATTTTTATTTTAGCAGCATAAACAAATAAGACATGCAGATAAGTATCAAAGCAGTCATCCAGAGCAATTATAAGTAGTTGCCTCTGAGGAAGAGGAAGTGGTGGTTGTAGCGTTAACAGATGTTTCTCACACGTCCACTGTGATCCTGCAAATTCAAATGCAACTTACATGATCCAGTCTTGTCTTTTTTAAAGATTGATCATCGTTAAATTCATCTTCTTCATATGGCTCTGAAGACGAAGACAATTTTCGTTTTCTGGGCCCACCACCTTTTAAAACAGAGTAGCACACTCAAACTTTGCACAGAAATAGTAACAAGTCAATGTAAAGCAAGCACAAATGTATTCTAATACCACATGTTCAGGGTTACATTCTTTCTTCTACAAATAACTAAACTGAAGGAAAAGGGAATAGATACTTTGTAGTCTTTCAAAACTAGAAATCATTGGAAAACTGTATTTGTACAACCATCATATTATCTAATGCTAAAAATAGATCTCTAAACTGATAAGGAATTCCACAGAGTAAAACTGACAATCATTCTTTCTTTCATATATATAATGTTTTAAAGAGGTTTTTGCCTAAGGGCATCTGTGCTCACTGGGTAGAGAGACAGAGACAGAGACAGAGAGAAGGAAAGTGAGAAATCACCCCCCAGAGGAATAGCTATGCCCCAATCCCTTCTCCTCCTATAATCTTAGGCACACACATTCAGGAGTCCAGCTGAGATTCAAACCACCGGGTCTGGGACTCAAACTGTGGTGGACCATTTGGGAATCCAGGGAAGTAATCGCTCTGTCATCTGCTGGCCCTTCTTTTTTCTATATTTTAATAGAGCACATGCATGAGAGAGAGCAGAGGATTAACCTCAATTAAGGTCTGGCCATACCATGATCCCCTCCTCCAGTTTCCCAGCCCATCAGATCTTGGGCACTCACATAAATGCTCAGTATGTTCTCTGCTTAGTGGGCCAGGGATTTGAACCATTATCACCATGTGGAACTGGTTTCTCCTGAGCAGCAGGTTCCTGCTGCACCACAGAGTCAACCCTACAGGGTAACGCTGGGAGGGGAAGGTTCTCCGTGGTGACCGAGTGTACAGCAGCCCCATCAAGAGCAGGTGACCGGGTAGCATCACTGACACCAATAATCAGTAAGTGTCTATGCGTACCAGGTCTGTTACTAAGTGTCTACGATGTACCAAGTCTGACACAAGACCTTTTATTTACACAGTATTGCTTCATAAACTTGCCACAACAAACATACAGAGTTGGAACTAAGATATGAAGGCTTAATGCTTCAGGCCTTTAACTTAAAAGCAAGGCTGTAATACAGATGTTATGAGTAACAAGAAATCTGCATATTCATCCTAACTAAAAGAAATTCAAGCTACGTTACAACTATACTTTTTTTTTTTTAAATTTTGCCAGAGGGTGTTTGTGTTCCTGAGAGAAAGGGAGAGAGAGAGAAAAATGAGTAAAAAAAGAACCCCCCATGAGAGATGGTCATGTCATAATTCCTCCTCCTCCATTTCTCCCTCCTTCTGGGATTTTGAACACACATGCACAGGCATCCAATTTTTCAAGCCGCTGGGTCCAGGGCTTGAATGTGCAGCTGGCTAAATGGGATCCAGCCACCTTCACTGCCATGCCACCAGATGGCCTATATTTATGGTTTCTACACATTTATTTACTTTGTAAATACTTTTTAGCTTCCAGAGGGCACATGCTTAGACACACTGCTGTGCAAATAAAAAAGTACCTGTTAAAGCCTACAATGTTAAGATTTCAGCACTGATGACATCAGGACCCTAACTATGCAGTCAGAAATAAAATCTTTATGAATCCAACTCAATTACATACCTGTCACTTTTAAGTTTATAAGCTTAAAGTAACGACTATTACAAAATAAAATGTTTCCACTTTTGAAAATGGAAAACAAAACTACCTCATCATCACTTGTATATTTATTAGATTAACCAAACACTGTTAGGAATATTTTACATCTGAGAAAAAGCTTCAAACTAGACCGTTTATGCCATGTAACCGAGACATGCTTCTTCCTTTTAAAAAATGAACAACTTGAGACTTCCAGACAACATCAATAAATTCTTATTTTAACATTCTAAAAAAGGGTTAAAAGTTTGAATATATTTACTTTTGCTTTTGTAACTTAGTGTTCATAAATGACAATTTCTAAAAGGTACTGCATAAAAAAAAATCATAATTGTTTAAAAATGCAGATTTGATACTATTGATAAAAGACTCATTTATGGGACCAAAAGATGGCATAATGGTTACGTTGGTGGACTCTGATGTAGTGGACCTTGGTTTGAGTCCCAGACCCTGCGGCTTAAATCGCCTGAAAGTTTGCTTACTATACTAAAAATGATGACGTCTGGGGCCAGCAGTTGGTGTGGAGATTAAGGCACTGGATCCTACATAGCCAACTGCACGGTTCAAGTCCAGGACCCAGTAGCTTGAAAATCATGCCAGGAGTGTAAGACTGTGTGCACACACATGCCCAAAATCTTGAAAGGAAACTGGAGAAGGGGCTGCAGTGTGGCCATGCCCTGAAGGGTGATTTCTCACGTTCCCACCCACGGTCTCTGATTCTCTCCTGTGAACCCACATGCCCTGTGGAGAACATCGGAAAAGAAAAATAAAAGCAAACTAATCTCACATTTTCTAACCTCCACCGTGTGTCTGTTGTAGACTGGTATACATAAACACAAACAAAAGTTAAAAATGGCGGGACCAGCAGTTGGTGTAATGGCTATGTCACTGGACTCCCATGTAGTCAACCGTGGTTCGAATCCCAGACCCAGTGGCTTAAACTCACGCAGGGTGTGTGTGTGTGTGTGTGCCCAAGATCCTGAGAGGAGAATGGAGAATGGAGGATTAGGGCATGGCCATCCCCCTGGGGGAGTGATTTCTCACTTTCTGTCTCTGTCTTTCTGGTGAGCAATTGCATGCGCCCTACAGCAAAAAATACTCTCAAAAAAAAAAAAAGTTAAAAATGGCATAAAGCAAATTTAAGAATGGTTCATAAAATATGTTTGCTTTCCTTACTCTAAATACTTTTTAGTAGTAGAACTGTTAAGGGATTATTTTTCATTTTGGCATGTGCATTATAAAAAAATCAAGGCAGCATTTACTAAAAAAAGAAGATGCTTTTAGAGTACAAACTTCTTCAAATGCATTTATTTTTACATCCCAAGCCTGAAATACAGCATAAATGTTCACTAAAGGAATGCTGACCAGTAGCCAGGACACTCCATAACACATTGTTTCTAGTGACTCGGATTTGCAGACCTAAGTAAATAAAACCACCATACAAGGACCAGGTAATAGCACAGATGTAGTGTAATGGGCCAACATGGGAAAGGTTCTCGGTTCAAGCCCTTGGATCTTCCAGAGCATGCTGGGGCATGCACCTGCCTGTGGTCTGATCCGGCTGAGGCTGAGGGTGGGTTACGGTGGGAGGACAAACTTGGGGATACCTATATCTCTGACTTTATTTCTTCTTTTGTCTCTCTATCAGGGAAGGAATTAGTAAGTTAAAAAAGCAAAACAAGGGAACCAGCAGTTAGCATAATGGCTATGTCGCTGGACTCCCATGTAGTGTCCCAGACCCGGTGGCTTAAAACTCATGCTGGGCGCATGTGCGTGCGTGCCCAAGATCCCGAGAGGAGAATGGAGGAGAAGGGATTGCGGCGTGACCATCCCCCCTGGGGGGTGATTTCTCGCTTTCTGTCTTTATGTTTCTGTCTGTCTGGAGAGCGCACGCACCCTATAGCGAAAACCTCTCCAAAACAAAACAAAAACAAACAAAATTAAATTAGAAGGGATACTTAAAGAAGGAAAACATACTTTCCCAAACTTCAGTTAGATTTCTTCTATAGAAAATACACAAAATTACCAACGAGAAACTGTCCCCTACCCTTTCTTGGGGGGTGGGGTGGGAATCCATTTAGAAATCTGACCCCTAAATAGCTGGATGACCTCAAGTCAGTGACTTACTTTCTTTAGCTTTGGTATCTTCACCTTAAAAACCTGAAGCTATTAACATTTCACAGGTTCTAAAAAGAATTCACGAAGGTTCTTGGTAAATGGTAGCACACTATTAATGACAAGATACACTCATAATAAATCAACATAGCTTCACACTAAGTCAGGCATACCTGCGTCACCAAACATCAGCAAAGCAGCAGCAATTGCTCCATCCATAGTGCTTGTTGATTCAATCAACTAAAAGAGTGGGAAAAATATATGTTTAAAAACTAACACTTCAGAATTAGGCAAAGTTACTGAAATATTTAAGAACAAACAAATACATAAGGTGGAAAAGTGTATGTCATAATTCAAGTAAAGTATAATGATGGGGACCAGCAGGTGGTATGGTGTTTTAAGGCGCAGACTCCCACGTGGTCGACTGTGGTTCAAGTTCTGGACCCGGCAGCTTTACATTCACACCAAGTGTGTGCGCATGTGTACCCAAAATCCCAAGAGAAGGGATTGCAGTGTGGCCAACTAGCCTGAGGGGTGATTTCTCAATTTCCTTCTCACTGTCTCTGTCTCTCGGGCAAGTCCATACTTTATGTCAAAAATGTAAAAAAGGGAAAAAAAGAAAAGGAAAAAGAAAGTACAATAAATTTTCCAAGAATTTGACATGCTTAAGAAATCTAAATTTATCTAAACATATTTTAAAATGTCCCAGGTTCACTCATTACCAAAAGGAAAAGCTAAATCATATACACAGCGTATTCTAGGTTTGTTATGTTAAATTGGAGGTCTTACACTGAAGCCTTAATCACTGCCTACGGACATGTCCAGGTGCTGTATGTCTGTGTGTGTGTGTGCGCGTGTGTGTGTGCGCGTGTGTGTGTGTGCGTGTGTGAGAGAGAGAGAGAGAGAGAGTATGACAGAACTAAGAGGAAGAGATGAGGGGGAGAGAGGAGGCAAAGGAAAGAGAGGAAAGGAAGGAGACTGACAGACATTTATTTATTTCTCTTTTTTTATTTCTGGGGGGAAAAAAAAGCACATCTCTGCTCTTTCTGAAAACCTTACACTTATGGGGCCAGTGGCTGGTGTAGTGGTTAAGATGCTGGACTCCCACATGGCTAACTGTGGTTTGAGTCCCAGACCTGGAGGTTTGTTCTCTCAATTTCACTCTCTCTCTCTCTCTCTCTGGTGAGTACATGTGCCCTATAGTAAAATTCAAAAAATAATAACAACATATGAATAAATCTTTTAAAAAATCTTTTACTTATGATGAATGAGATAAAGGGTTCCTAATTTTCACTCAATTTTTAAATTGCTTGAACTTTTTCAAAAACACATGAGTATTACTTATCTGTGTTTTACACTGTTAATATTTAGAGTACAGAAGAAAATAAACATCCTATATTTTTCTCTTGTTAAAGTTTTCTATATTTTGAGTGAGTTATTCATTTTAAAAAGATTTTTTTTTATTAAAAATGAATCATTTTTGTATTAAATCAAATAGCCTCAAATCAAAATGAGCATACTCCTCCAAACTACTGCTTTCTAATTCTGGATCCTCAGATATGCGATAAGCCCCTTTTCATTTTTAAAATAGAGCATATTCTTATCAAACCAAGATCAATTTAAGTTTTATAACTTCTTGAATTTTTTTTTATTGGTCTAAAAACTTTTGATGAGTAACTTTTTTTTTTGAGAGGTTTTTGCTATGGGGCGCATGCGGTCACCAGAGAGAGACAGAGAGACAAAAAGTAAGAAACCACACCCCGGGAGGGAGATGGCCACGCTGCAATCCCTTCTCCTCCATTCTCCTCTCGGGATCCTGGGAATGCACACACACACACCCAGCGTGAGTTTAAGCCACTGTGTCCGGGACTGGAACCTTGGTCGAATACATGAGAGTCCAGTGACATAGCCATTACGCCAACTGCTGGTCCCTGGAGAGTAATTTATAATCATCACTTTGTATGATATGCTAAATTCCCACAAATTCAGATACTAATAATGAAACATTTAGAGAAATTATGTGTATCTATCCTATTTTACCAGTGCAAGTGTAAAATTAGAGAAAGATATTTCTACAAAATAAAATTCCTTTGAACTCTATGAAGAGCTGGAAATCAAGTTCAAGTATTTTTAAACTGAGAATGGTCCCATGATGCTGAATATTTTAATATTCCATAATGTTTGTTCTATTGGAAGCTCGTTCCTTACTATAGCTTTCCAAGACGTTAAGTAGCCTCTGGAGCTACTGGAGCTATATTTCTACTATTCTGCTTATACTGAAAAAACAAAACAAAACAAAACAAAACAAAAACCCACATCACAGGAGAGCAACGCTGCTGGTGGTAAAAAAAAAAAAATGTAGACTCAGGATATCACCAATGTTTCATTCAACTAACAATAAGAAGGTACCAAATGATCTGGGGAAAAGAAATCCTGTGGGACTGGCCCTGCTGCCTACTGTTAAAGGGAACTAGATCCCACCTGGCAGACTGTAGTTCACAGCCTGAACCTTGTGGCTTGAAAAACAATCTCGGCCAAGAGAATGCCCAAGATCCCAACGGAATAGAGAAATGGAGGAGAGTGCGGTGTGACCACATCCCATGGGAGTGCTTTCTCATTTCCTCACTCTGTCTGCTGGAGAGTATACATGCTCTCTGGCAACAAAACAAAACAGGACAAAAATTCCAGTGGATTCATACATATTAAAAATAAAATGGGGGGACCAGCAGTTGGCATAATGGCTGTCACTGGACTTCCATGTAGTCAACCACAGTTCAAGTCCTGGACCCAGTGACTTAAACTCATGTCGGATGTGTGTGCGTGCACACCCAACATCCCGAAAAGAAAAGTGATTGCAGCATGGCCATCCCCCCTGGGGGGTGATTTCTTGCTGTCTCTCTATCTCTCTTTTTCTGGCAAGCACACGTGCCCTATAGCAAAACCTCTCCAAAACAATAAAATAAATAAATAATTAAAAAATAAAAAAAAAATGGGACCAGCAGATGGCATAACGGTCACGTTGCTGGACTCCCACATAGTCAACTGCAGTTTGAGTCAAATCCCCTGTGGCTTAAAACTCATGCCAGGCAAGTACACGTGCATGCCCAAAATACTGAAATGAGAAGGGACTGTGACATGGCCATCCCCGGGGAGGGTGACTTCTCACTTTCTGTCTCTCTGTCTGACTCTCCAATGAGTTCATGTGCTCTGTAGCAAAATCTCTCTAAAAAAAATAAATGGAATAAACTAGAATGGGCTAGCCCATGGTCTGGTGGCTAAGGTAGTTGGACACCAAATGGCTGACTGCGTGGTTTGAATCCTGGAACCAGCAACTTGAAAAATGCACTAGGTGTGTGTGTGTGTGTGTGCATGCCCAAAGGAGAGAAAGATGGAGGAGAAGAGATGGCAGCATGACCATTCCCCGGAGTGGGTGCTTTCTCACTCCCTCCCCACCTTTGTTCCACTCTGGGGAGTACATGTGCCCCCTGGCAAAATTCTTTAAAATGAAATAGAGCAAAAGGAAATAGTTTAAGCTATACTTAGAGTAACCTATACTGAGGCATAGAACAAAACATGATTCACAGACATGCTCTGTCTGGCCTGGACAATATTTTATATCTTTCTTTAAATGAGTTACCACTGAAAGGAAGAAGCTCATGGTACAACAGAGATGAACCTCAAAATGTTCCATTAAGTGAAAAAAGACAGGCACGAAATACATATAGGGGCAAGCAGATGACATGGTGGTTAAGGTGCTGGACTCCCACATGGCTGACCAAGGTTTGAGTCCTGGACCTTGTGGCTTACTTTCTCACTTTCCCTTTCTCTCTCTCTGGTCAAATTTAAAAAAATAGGAATTAACAACAAATAAAATATTTTTTAAAAATCACATACATTATAATCTCATTTATACAAAATGTCCAGAGTAGATAATCTATAAATATAAAATTAAGAAGAATAGATTAGTGGTTGCCTAGGGTGGGAGTGGGAGAAAAAGGGAAGAAAAGAGTTATTACTGCCAAAGGACTCAAGGTTTCTTTCTGGGATCATTAAAACGTTCTAAAATGAGATTCTTTATGGTATATGAATTTATCTCAATAAAGCTGTTAAATTGGTGGCCAAAACTAAATAAAGGTCCAGTCTTTTTCTTTAAAACATCTAAATATCTACCAATACTAATGATGTGCTGTCACGGACAGCTCACCTGGCCATATCCTGCTGGAGACAAGCAGGAGGTAGCCCTTTAAAAGCGAGCATATATGTAGGGCCAGCAGGTTGTATGATGGTTAAGGTGCTGGACTCCCATGTGGCCAACTGCGGTTCAAGTTCTGGGCCTGGTGGCTTGCCTTTTCACTTCTCTCTTTCTCTGATCAAATTAAAAAATAATAACAATAAATACAATTAAGGCAAACAATTCCTTAAAAAAGAAACAGCATATATGCTATGCCAGTGTCTATCACTTCAAAGTCACCTAACCAGCTCAACAAATTCAGTAAATCTGAAGCCTCAGATTGTGAGGAGTGCTGGTGGTGGTGATGACAAAATCGAAGGTGAAAAAAAACAGAATCCCTAACATTATTCAACCGGTAAGTGACAGAGTTAAGGATAAACTATTTGCTCATCTTCGGAGATGTGGCCTCATTCTAAAAATTAAAACAGTCTAATTTTTTTCTTTTGCATCTCTAACAAGAAACCCTAATTACAGGTCGAACTTTATACAGCTAACTAGTCACTTATTTTGTTTCTGTATCAACAACCCCTTGTCATGGGATAGGGAGGCTTCTGACATTCCTGAGTGTTTCTGAAGGGAGGCTCCCATTTTAAAAGCACTCAAGTACAAAAATACTCACAGCCTACGTGGGCTAAGGCTTTAACTATATCCTCTTACAGGTGAATAATTCCACCTACTTATTACTGAACAGATTCTCAAAACAGTATAGTTCCGATGTTTGCCTTTATTCTGACATAAAGAATTCGTTAATAATTATCTTCAAACATAAGATATCTTTAGAAAAATGACTATCCATCACTAACTATAGCACTGCATACAGAAGAGATTTTTTTTCATCATCATAGCTGCAACAATCAATTACTATAAAAGGGTATATATAACCTTAAGTAAATCATTGTCACTTCTTTGTGGAAAAAGTTCCTTCAAGGTCTGAAGTTTAGCATCTTTAAGGTCTTCCAATTCAGAAAGGTCATCCAATTCTGAAATATCATTATTTCTATGTGCCATGGAAGGAAAGCCTTGGGACTCTTCATCTTCAGATGGCTCAGAACTAAAAATATTTTCAAAAGAGGAAAAAGACATTTTTAATGTACTACTACTGTTATTTCATTCTACTATCTATATAGTATACACACTACAGCACGCCCTGCAATATTAAACACCTCATACTCACATTTTCGATATTAAAGCAATCTACACCTGTTAAACAGTAAAAGACCCTATTTTCCCTTTCAGTATACTTATGTACATAAATCTTCATGATCAAAGTCAGCATACAATGAAAAAAATCTTAAATTTTGTCTGGGCAGGGCTGAAAAAGAACACTAAAGGGAACCAATTACCTGGCACTTATTTTATTAAGATCTAAATACATGTACTGCATGCCCACCTTCTCTGCTGATCACATGATGGGGTCATGCTGCCCTAGGAAGTTGTGAAGCCTATATCGCTATGAAAATAGAATAATTGTCATGGATCAGGATTTCAGTGTTAAAACTGCAATGTTCCCATTCAATATAACAATAAATACAATTAAGGCAAACAATTCCTTAAAAAAGAAACAGCATATATGCTATGCCAGTGTCTATCACTTCAAAGTCACCTAACCAGCTCAACAAATTCAGTAAATCTGAAGCCTCAGATTGTGAGGAGTGCTGGTGGTGGTGATGACAAAATCGAAGGTGAAAAAAAACAGAATCCCTAACATTATTCAACCGGTAAGTGACAGAGTTAAGGATAAACTATTTGCTCATCTTCGGAGATGTGGCCTCATTCTAAAAATTAAAACAGTCTAATTTTTTTCTTTTGCATCTCTAACAAGAAACCCTAATTACAGGTCGAACTTTATACAGCTAACTAGTCACTTATTTTGTTTCTGTATCAACAACCCCTTGTCATGGGATAGGGAGGCTTCTGACATTCCTGAGTGTTTCTGAAGGGAGGCTCCCATTTTAAAAGCACTCAAGTACAAAAATACTCACAGCCTACGTGGGCTAAGGCTCTAACTATATCCTCTTACAGGTGAATAATTCCACCTACTTATTACTGAACAGATTCTCAAAACAGTATAGTTCCGATGTTTGCCTTTATTCTGACATAAAGAATTCGTTAATAATTATCTTCAAACATAAGATATCTTTAGAAAAATGACTATCCATCACTAACTATAGCACTGCATACAGAAGAGATTTTTTTTCATCATCATAGCTGCAACAATCAATTACTATAAAAGGGTATATATAACCTTAAGTAAATCATTGTCACTTCTTTGTGGAAAAAGTTCCTTCAAGGTCTGAAGTTTAGCATCTTTAAGGTCTTCCAATTCAGAAAGGTCATCCAATTCTGAAATATCATTATTTCTATGTGCCATGGAAGGAAAGCCTTGGGACTCTTCATCTTCAGATGGCTCAGAACTAAAAATATTTTCAAAAGAGGAAAAAGACATTTTTAATGTACTACTACTGTTATTTCATTCTACTATCTATATAGTATACACACTACAGCACGCCCTGCAATATTAAACACCTCATACTCACATTTTCGATATTAAAGCAATCTACACCTGTTAAACAGTAAAAGACCCTATTTTCCCTTTCAGTATACTTATGTACATAAATCTTCATGATCAAAGTCAGCATACAATGAAAAAAATCTTAAATTTTGTCTGGGCAGGGCTGAAAAAGAACACTAAAGGGAACCAATTACCTGGCACTTATTTTATTAAGATCTAAATACATGTACTGCATGCCCACCTTCTCTGCTGATCACATGATGGGGTCATGCTGCCCTAGGAAGTTGTGAAGCCTATATCGCTATGAAAATAGAATAATTGTCATGGATCAGGATTTCAGTGTTAAAACTGCAATGTTCCCATTCAATATAAGAATCTCTGCTGGGAATTAAGTATTCCCTTAGCAAACAGGGCATTTGTTTCCATGAGGATTTATTTTCCAATAACTAACTTGATTTCTTTCATTTCAAATGTTTACCCTATATAAAAGACATTGGGAATCAAATTTTACTTACTGACCCCTCAAGAAAAAAGATCTCCTTTTGAAATTTTGATTTTCTAACATGATTAAGACTGATAAGTAAGCATTCTAAAGATCAGAAGAACAGTAACAAATGGTGTAAGTTATAAGGGTCAGAGAAAGAAAGCAAGATAGTTATGTACAGGGAACTTCAAAATATCCATGGGAAAACAGAATGAAGTTTTCTTTTGGTGCAAAAAACTTTGGAACTCCATGTAGTTTTTTTCCTAATACACACTTTCCATGAACTTTGAGAAGAGCCCCTCATAGCTGTCTAACCTGAAATGCTTGGAATGCAAGCTTCAAGAGCAGCTAATTCTACAATATTTTTGGACAATTGTGTCAAATGCATATCCAGAATACTTATGTTGTTCTATTGTGTTTCTTAGGAAACTAGGGATGCCTAAAAGTCACCTAAGAAGTGTTAATAGCAAACTCCTGAAGACCAGAAACATATATTTTTAATAAGTTTCTAGGTTGATTTCTTCCCCTTTTTTTGGGGGGTGGGTGGGTGGAGGTGAGGCCAGTGGGTGGATGTGCTCACCAGAGACAGAGAGACAGAGACAAAGACAGGACGAGGAGAAGCATCCCCAATGGGGCATGGTCACACCACAATCCCTTCTTCATCTCACCCTTTCAGGGTTTGGGGCACGTATGCACATGTGCTGGCGTGTTTCTCAAGCTGCTGGATCCAGCACTCAAACCGGATAGCTGGTCATGTCGTATCTAGCTGCCTTATCAACTATGCCACAGAGCTGGCCCCATACTGTCCTCTGCACACATACCCAGACTTTGGCTCCTAATGTACTCAAACCTGCATTTCATTCTGTCCCCCCAAAAGACTTCCCAACTCCTGCACGGGTAACCAACCTTTCTAAGAGCTTTACTCTGCACTGTCTCCACCTTTCCCTAATGTCAGATTCATGACCAGTCATGGTCATTTGTCCTATCAGTCATGGTAGGACAAACTCGGGTGGCTTTTGATAAAGGAGGTAGCATTCATGTTGACCACAAATCTTACCATGTCTTGGATTTTACTTTCAGTTTACAAGAAACAGAGTGATAGAAATAAATTCAATGATATCATGAAGAAAATAAAAATAGTGTGAAGAAATAGAAAAACCTATTTCTCTATTAAAGCCCTCCTCTCTTCTATTAAGTTAGTCTTTCCAACAGTGGGAAAAGGAGTGGATGGTTCTCTTTTTATCAAGACAGCTGAGTTTTGGGAACCAGCAGTTAGCGTAATGGCTATGTCGCTGGATTCCCACGTAGTCAACCGCAGTTCGCGTCCCGGACCCAGTGGCTTACAACTCACGCTGGGCACATATGCGTGCGTGCCCAGGATCCCAAGAGGAGAATGGAGGAGAAGGGATTGCGACGTGACCATCCTCCCAGGGGGTGATTTCTCGCTTTCTCTCTCTATGTCTCTCTTTGTCTGGCGAGCACACGCGCCCTACAGCGAAAACCTCTCAAAAAAAAAAAGAAAGACAGCTGAGTTTTAACATCCAAATACAGTAGATGTTCCTCATTTGGATCCTAAAAACCATCTATAATAAAAGAGATGATATCTGAATATAAACTGGGAATTAGGAGACATCAGGGAATTATTCACTGATAGTGGGACTAGCAGATGACATAATGGTTATGTCACTGGACTCCCAGGTAGTCAATTGTGGTTCTAGTCTGGTACTGGTGACTTAAAACTTATATTGGGCACGGGGCCAGCAGGTGGCTTGGTGATTAAGGTGCTGGAATTCCCATGTGGCCGGCCGACCATGGCGGTCCCAGACCTGGCGGTTTGCTTCCTCACTCTCCTTCTCTCTCTGGCAAAAACTCATGTGAAATAATAAATACATAAATAAATAAAATAATTCTTAAAAAAAAAAATACTTATACTGGGCGCATATGTGTGTATGCCCAGGATCCCGAGAGGTGAATGGAGGAGAAAGGATTGCAGAATGACCATCCTCCAGGGGGATGATTTCTCATTTTCTGTCTCTCCATTTCTATGTCTCTAGTGAGTACACATGCCCTATAGCAAAAATATCTCTTAAAAAAAAAGAAAAAGAAAATCATTCACTGATAGCAATATTGATTTTTTTGGCAGAAAGAGGGATATATAACTAAATACTACAGTGAAAAATACTTATAATTTATTTTTAAATACTTTAGCTAGAATAACAACATATAATACAATAAATAGGGGAAATAATTATTAAATGTTGGTAGTAAGTATATAAGTACCCATTATATACTATTTGGTTTTCCTGGAGGCCTGAAACTTTTATTAGTAATGAAAAACAGAATTGACCACTTATTCTTTTATTTATTTGATTTTGTTATCATCATCATCATCCTCATCATCATTTTTTAATTTGACCAGAAAGAGAAAGGGAAGGTGAGAAAGCAAGCCATCAGGTCTGGGACTCAAATCATGGTTGGCCATGTGGGAATCCAGCAAGTTAACCAACATACCACCTGCCGGTCCCACCACTTATTCTTATTTTTATTTATTTTTCATCTTTTTTTTGGAGAGATTTTTTTTCCCTATAGGGCGCGTGCACTCGCCAGACAGACCAGAGACATAGAGACAGAAAGCGAGAAATCACCCCCCCGGGGGGATGGTCACACCGCAATCCCTTCTCCTCCATTCTCCTGTCAGGATCTTGGGCACGCATGCACACGCGCCTGGCGTGAGTTTTAAGCCACTGGGTCCGGGACGCGAACCACGGTCGACTACGTGGGAGTCCAGCGACATAGCCATTACGCTAACTGCTGGTTCCCTTTATTTTTCATCTTTAAAAAAATTTTTTTCTTCCATTTATTCTTTTTTTTGGAGAGGTTTTTGCTATAGGACCCATGTGCTCGCCAGAAAGACAGAGAGAGAGACAGAGACAGAAAATGAGAAATCACTCCCCAGGGAGATGGCCACACTACAATCCCTTCTCTTCCATTCTCCTCTCAGTAACTTGGGCATGCACACACATGCACCCAGCGTGAATTTAAGCCACTGGGTCCAGGACTCGAGCTACGGTCGACTACATGGGGGTCTAGCAACATAGCCATTTTGCCAACTGCTGGTCCCCAATTTATTCTTTTAAATGCTTTCAGATAATGAAGTTCCTTCCTGTTCAAAGCAAAATCCCCTCCTAGTGCTAAAGGATTCTGGCCCTTTCTACTTCTTACATGATTCTGCTGTATGGACCCCCTATTTCCCCCCCTGCTATCTCTTCCCTTTCCACAAGTTCTTCCTCCTAAGCCTATAGGAGGTGCTCAAGGCTGCATTCCTCAATTCAACTCATTCAGTGGGACAACTATCCCGGACAAGGACACACAGCAGCACAGACAGCAAATGCTCCTCCACTTCACAAATCAGACTCATATCTACATCCTGGTTTCCCAGCACTTCTTAACTTGCTGTTATCATAGCCTTCGCGCCGCACTGCCACTTCAGTGAAGCTGGCATCACTAAGGACCAGTGCCTATAAACTGCTGAATGAGATAAAAACTTTTCATAGCTTATCTAAGGTTCCTCTGCAGTCCCATACCCTGCCCTGGCCCAATGGATTCTACAGTATTACTTCTGACTTTCCTTTTACTTCCCAGCCTGTTTGCTCATTCTCTATAAGAGGCTCCTTTTCCCTCGTTCACCTGTCGGAGTTACCCAGGAGTCTGCCTGTGGTTCTTTCCTGTCTAAGTGTCCTGCAAGACTTCATCCATTGCCAGAGTTTCTTTTCTTTTCTTTTTTAAAAATTATTTTAGGGGACAACAGGTGGCGTGGTAGTTAAACGTGCTGGACTCCCACATGGCTGACCACAGTTCGAGTGGTTCAAGTCTCAGACCTGGCAGCTTGCTTTCTCACTTTCCTTCTCTCATTCTCTCACACCCTGTCCCTCTCTGGTCAAATTAAAATAAATAAATAAAGATAAATAAAATAATTTAAAAAGAATTATATTTTATTTAGGGACCAGAAGGTGGTGCGGTGGTTAAGGGTGTGGACTACCACCCACATGGCTGACCATAGTTTGAGTCTTGGACCTAGCAGCTTTCCTTCTCACTTTCCCTTCCTCTCTCGCTCACT